AAGACCCAGGTTCAGTCCCCAGCACCCACACAGCAGCTACCAACCATCTCCAGCTCCAGTTCCAGGGAATCTGATGCCTTCTGGCCTCCACAGGCACTGCCAGCACGAAATGCACTTACACATAGGCAAAACATAACATATTTTACAAATAAATTTTTTTTTTTGGTCTTTTTGAGACGGGGTCTCTCTGTAGTCCCAGCTGTCCTGGAACTCACTATGTAGACCAGGGTGGCCTTGAACTCACAGATATCCGCCTGCCTCTGCCTCCCGAGTGCTGGGATCAAAGGTGTGCACCACTACGCCCAGCTACAAATAAATTTTTAAAAAATTAAAAGAAGCTGGTCTGGAGAGATGGCTCAGCAGTTAAGAACACTGGTTCTTCTTGAAGAAGACCCGGGTTCAAATCCCGGCACCCACATGGCAGCTAACAACTGTCCATAACTCCAGTCCCAGGGGATATGACAGCCTCTTATGACCTCCACGGACATTGCACAACGTGAGTGCACTTACCTACATGCAGGCAATACATTCATACACATAAAATAAATTTTTTAAAAAATTAAAAGAAGCTCTATTGACATCAAAAATAGAGTAAAATGCTGACAAGTAAAACTTGGGGCATTTTTCTGACAGCTATTTTTCTGGAATAAACCACATGACTCCTTTAGTATATCCACTAGTCAGTCAAGTCTAGAAAAATTCTGAGCAATTTACCTTCAGGGGATGGCTGGTTTAAAATTTCAGCTGATTTACAAAACTCAAAGACAGTTCAAGTAAATATACCTTTCTTAATCCTTGAAGAGCCAGCAAGTCACTGGGTGTGGTGGCGCTTGCCTTTAGTCCCAACACTTGGGAAGCTGAGGCAGGCGCATTTTTGTGAGTTCAAGGTCAACCTGGTCTGCATAGTGAGCTCCAGGCCAGCTGGGGCTACAGGGAGACCCTGTTTCAAATTTAAAAAAAAAAAAAAAAAGAGCCACAAGTCCCTGTAGTTCCAGCAAGCACTCAGGAGACTGGGTAGGAGGATCACTTGAGCTCAAGAGTTCAATATCAGCCTGAACAACATATCAAGATTCTGTGTCAAAAAAAAAAAAAAGGCAAGTGATAAACCTCATCACTTCATAAGGCGTGTTTATGAACAAAGCCTAAAGATAACATTGAATAGAAAGTGAAATTGGACACTTTGATGGCCCAAACAGGTTCCTCCCCCAGAAGATCAACATAGAGTGCCTTCTCTGAGCTTTGACCCAACAGGAAGGACTACAGGTCTGATATGAACAGGAAGAAGGTGCAGATACAACCCTGGGGGACAGAGAACCAGTCAAGGATCATCCTCTTTCATGTTCTGGGGAGACCCAACAGCTTGGTATTTCCACAGCAACCCATGACTATGACAATGGCAATCCATTTACAACCCTGTGCCTTAGTCTCCCCATCTTTTTTTTTTTTTTTTTTGAGACAGGGTCTCCCTGTAGCCCCAGCTGTCCTCGAACTCACTATGTAGACCAGGCTGGCCTTGAACTCACAGAGATCCACCTGCCTCTGCCTCCCGAGTGCTGGGATTAAAGGCCTGCGCAAACAGGCTTCCTACAGCCCTGTCATGCTCTGCCTTGCTGGGAACAAGACCCTGGATTATATCCCCACTGTCAGGAGCAGAGGTGGCTGAGGGATACTGGTGAGGAAGACAGCCTCAGAAGTAAAGCTCCATGAATGTGCAGGCTCTAGGGCTCCCAAAGTGAGAACAGTTGATGGTTAGTGCATCTGCCCCTTCAGTGCAGCCTTGGGAAGACAAAGCAGTACAGTGTTTCAGAGCATTAGCAGCACCAAGTCCAAATCCTGCCACTTTCTAAAGCAACCGTGGCCACGGTTCAACCTTGGCTTACCTGGGTTTCTATTTCTTACTTCCCTGTGAAATATACCAGTATTTTTTTGTAAAATTCAGCAACTTAAAAGTGTCATAAACAGAGGTCCTCTATAGGACTGAAGGAGAGTTCAGACTAAGGCCTGGGAGAGAAGCAGGGAGGTGCTCCTGGGTGTGCACAGTGGACCCTCCCTCTTACAGAAGCAGCTGTAGTCTGTAGCTTCTGTTTGGCTTTGCTTGTCCTTCCCAGTGCCCAGACTGAAGCCTGCTTCAGAGAATTTCTACAAACCCACAGCTCTCAGGCTGGAGAGAGGCCAGGTTTCATTCAGCAAACACAGCCTGCTTTTGTGCTTCCATCAGAGTATCAACTTTTAGGGTCTTATTATTGTATGCGCCATACTAGAACCACAGTTGTGGGGGTGGGATTAAGAGGAAAAGTAAAAAATCTCTTGAACTCACCACTCTGAATAGACTTCAAGAGTCTTTCAAGAGCTTAACTGTCGGTCTTCATTGATGGCCACAACCGATACACTCTCTTTGGGCTTAGAATTAAACTCAAGAAATTAGTGTCAACTCAGTAAAGATTCTGAGCAAGACACAGTCTCTCCGCCTTCCCCCCACTGCACAGAGAAAGATCCACATCTCTAAGGAGCCCTTGCTTAAGGTCCTCAGCGTCGCCTCGCCAGCGAACAGAGCCCAGTGCCGAGCTCCCTGCGGAGCAGCAAGGATTCACACCCACAAGGCCTTGTTTGAGCCAAGGGCTGCAGATGCGCCCCCCCACCCCAAACCCAGAGTGTAGAGTTGACTGTAGGACAGACTTCCAGAATGCTGCACTCGCCGACTTTGTCGCATATACTTGGGCTTCTAGGCAAAGCCCCTCTACCCTGGGGAAAGGGTCAGCGGTCAACCCGGCGGCTAGCTCGCCTGGACCTGGGGAGCTAGAGACTCCTGGTGGGATTGTCCCAGACTGTCTGCGTTGGGACGGGGGGGGGGGTACTCCCAGGACAGGAAAGGGAAGGACGAGAAGTCCCGGTGGGATCCAGAGGGCAGAGCGGGGCCTTCTGGGTCCCGCAGAGCCCGAGCGCTGCACAGCGAGGGTAGGGTCTAGGCCCTTCACCCGGCACTCCCGAACCTCGGCATCCTCCCGCCCACCGCGCCAGCCACACCCCACTCCCCTGCGCCTCACCCGGCAAGAGCCGCGCGCCGACCGAGCCGTCCCTGTACAGGAGGATGTCCGCGGTGTCCCGGATGCGCCGCCCGGCACTCGGCGCGCCCCGCAGCCCGCGGCAGCCCTGGAAGCACACCGCCCAGGCCTGCTCCTCGTTGATGGGCTGCTCGTACACCTTCAGCACCTCCTCCAGGGACAGCTCCCATGGCTCCCGCCGCGCCGCGCCCCCCGCGCGCTCCGGAGCCGCCGCGCCGCCGCCGCCCTCCCGGGCCATGGCCGCTCATCCTCGCCGCCCGCCCGAGCGGCGGGGCTCCATAAAAGCCGAGCGACGCACTACCGAGCGCGGGGGCGGGTCTCGCGCCGTCCGCGTGCTTTGTCATTCCGGCCCCGCCCCGCGCGAGCGGCCGCAGGTGAGGGCGGGGCGGACCGGAGACGGAGGACGAGCTCTAGGGAGGCCCAGGCGGAGGGGGCGGGTCGGGGGAAACCTGGTCTTCTGGAGACTGCGTACTAGGGTGGAGTGCGGGGGTCCGGTGGGAGAGGGAAGGCGCGCACCCGCCTAGGCTGGAGGTTTGGGGGAGGAGCGCCTGGATGAGGACGGGTGAGGAAGGGCAGAGGGCTAAGGCGTGCGTGACGACGGACGCTGGGGTTAGGGGGATTGGCGGGACCCGTGTCGCGGGTGCACACTCGGAGCTCTCGGGACCGAGGCGAGCTCACAGACACGCTGACTCTGCCGAGCTCGCGCGCTCCCAGGCGGCAGGCGCCTACGCCTGCCTCACAACAGGCTGACATCCAGCCTGGGAAACGGGACACGCTGCAGTGATTGTGGGCGCCTCTTGACGTGGAGGAGATGCCAGAGGAATCCAGAAAAACTGCGAATCTCCCTCCCTCTCCCCAGCGAGCGAGCGCGCGCGCACACACACGGACACGCACAGGCACACGCACTCAGGAGCACACATACTCACTTGGGCTTTGAGAAGCAGACAGTGGTCTTTCCGGAAGGCCTGGATGGCAAGGTGACCCCAGGAGGTTGCTACAGGGCGATTGACACAAAGCTGATGCGAGCCTTCAGGTATGAAGTAATAAATAAATGGGCCTTTCCAGAGAGGACGGACCAGCATTAGACTCTGCAGTGTCTTAGTGACAGACACAGTGTGACAATGATAACACGCCCCATTTAGAAAATGTCTGTGCCTTTATTCCAGGACACAGAGGTGGTGGCAAGCCAGGGACTACACAGAGTCACCTTTGTTGGGAGTGGCCTCAGCCATATTTGTGACTGTTCAGAATAACAGTAAGAAAATGTAACTGAGAAATAAATGACAGCAAGGCTTTTATCAGGCCTGGCTAGAATCACGTAGGAAGCACACGGCTGGGGACTGTGGTTCCTACCAAGTCTGGGGTGAAACTTAGAACTCTGAAGTTTCCTGGGGTTCTGGACAGCTGAGGATGGGAACCATACCATAAGGTCATTTCACTTCATTTGAGGGAGATTTGGCTGCTGTCAGTGTCCCACTATTGGATCATCTCTTCTGGATTTTTAATCTTCAAACAGAAAGAAACTTGATACAAATGAATTGTGCCTGAAAGTGTTTATAATCAATAGCTGGGCATATTTCACATCCTTTTCCAGTTCCCAAATTTATGAGACAAAACTGAAGTAACAGAACCAAAGGACACGGAGAAGAGATGAAAGGATCTTTGCCTCTTTCTGAATACATTGTACAGATAACCTAGGACTCTGAAACTCCTCTTCCTTAATCATCACCTGCCCATCACAGGATGACTGACAAAGGATACAAAGGATAGGCAGAAACTTCAAGGGCTGCCTCAGAAGGGAACAGCAGGAGCCTCCTACAAATGGTCTTGTTTATATACTAGCAAGAGTGTGTATTGCAAATAGTTTAAGCAAAGTCCCTGACTCACACAGTGCTCAGTGTGTGGTGTCAGGGAATTGTCCTCTACCAAGGCAGCCCACTCATGAAATGGTTTTTGCTTTTAGAATTGGTGGGAATACATCTTACTAGGAAAGTCTCAGCACCAGCTCATCAGAAACTGGAGTCATGACTCATTTAAGGACTAAGCCACCCATATGCTTTGTTATCCCAGGAGTGATGGGCTGCAGTTGGTGGTGAGGCAGTTGTCAAGGATATCTGCCAGGTGGAGAAAGGAAAGGAAGATAGGGAGTCAATGTGTGTGGGGCCCCTGGTCCAGAGGACAGCAAGGGACCTTTCTGTGTCTGGCAGAGGGTAGGTGCTATATAGAGAAGACAGGGGTTTCATCCCCATCCACTGGGCACCCTCAGTAGTCCTGCCTTCCTTCCCCTCCTTAGTGTCAGAAGCACCCCAGGAGGTGCTTCCTCACAGTCAGTCACAGTGCAGTGAATGCACAGAATTGTGGGGGATTTTGGGCAGAGGATGAAAATTACCTATGAGGAAGCTGCTTGAGATGTAGCAGGCATAGTTGCTATTATCATTTGAATGTGAAGTGTTCCCCAGAAGGTTTGAATATTGAAAAATGTTGAAGGTTTGAGCGCCAGCTGTTTGCTCCAGTCATTGACAGGTGATTGGATCATGAGGGCTCTGATCAATGGGTTAAACTACTGATGCGGTCACCATTTATTTGTGTGTGTGTGTGTGTGTGTGTGTGTGTGTGTGTGTGTGTGCGTGCACATGCATGCATGTGCTGTGAGTCCAGGTATATGTATGTCATAGTATATATAGTATGTGGAGGTCAAATGACAACTTTTGGAAGTCAGTTCTCTCCTTCCACTATGGTTTCCAGGGATGGGACTCAGATTGTCAGGCTTATGGAGCAAGTACTTCTACCCAGTGAAGCATCTGACTGGCCTTAGATTTGTAATTTAATAGCATTATGGGGAAGTGGTAGAAACTTTGGAGGTAGAGACTACTCGGAGAAAGTAGGTCACCAGAAGAATGTTCTTAGAGACTATATTTTATTCTGGGACTCTTCATTATTCATCTCTCTCCTATCCATCATGAAGTAAGCTGCTTTGCTCGGCTGTGATGCTCTGTTTTACCACACAGGGGCTCAGAAACAAAAAAGCCAAGTGACCATTGACTGAAACCTCTGAAACTGTGAACCAAAATAAATTCTTCCTCCCTTATGTTGTTTGTTAAGAAACTGTGTCACAGCAACAAAATGTCCAATACAACTGCCCTTTTTCTGTTAAAGCTTTGAAGTTTCCTATTAACTTGCAAAGGTTCAGTTTCTCCTTTAATGCACATGGCCCCCCCAGCAGCTGCTGGCATGGTGAGGCTGGATCTTTTGTGCTTAGAATCATTGTTTTGGGCACCCCTAAGTAGTTTGTGGTGCTGGGATTGAACCTAGGGCCTTGTGCATAATACGCACTCTAAAACTGAACTAAGACCTGGCCCTATTACTAAAGAATGTACAAGTTAGGTTTTGGTTTGGTTTGGTCTTTTTGAGACAAAAAGTCCCAGCTGGCCTGGAACTCATTATGTAGACCAAGCTGGCCTCAAACTCACAGAGATCTGCCTGCCTCTGTCTCCCAAGTACAGGAATTAAAGGCATGTGCCACCATACCTGGCAAGTTAGGTTTTAATAAGTATCTTTTCATATCTGAAGGTTAATACTCTCTAGCCACAGTCAAAATGAGGAAGCAGAAGTATTGGTCAACACTACAGTCACTTGTAGAAAGTATTCCTTTCTTTCTTTCGAGGTCATTTACCTATACTTTCCCCAAATGTGCCAGTTGAGACCCGGATATGGATCTCAAGTGAGACATTAACCCAACACCTATCATGGCCATGGCAACAAGAAGGATTTCCATCTTATAGCCGGGAACCCTGAGTGACTTTTAAGCCAGCCATCAGAATTAAAGATCAACTCAAAGATTGATTAAACTGGCCCCTGACCCAGAAAAGAGATGAATGGGATCCTGACCTGGTTGGTGCTCTTGGTGCAGTGATGAGCTCTACAGTTGAGTCTGAAGTCAATCAAGATGACCATTTCCCCCAGTTGAAATGGTACTTGGGCTAAGCATTGGATTTGTCTACAGACAGTTCTGAGGTTGAATCATAAAGAAAAATAGTTCTTCTGGGGCTGGAGAGATGGCTCAGCGGTAAAGAACACTGACTGCTCTTGCAGGGGACCAGGGTTTGATTCCCAGCACCCACATAGTTCTTCCATACCTTAAACTTAATGTGTGAATTTGTGAAACAATACAGCATGTTTCTGGCTAAAAAGAGACAAGAGGGGCTGGAGAGATGGCTCAGCGGTTAAGAGCACTGACTGCTCTTGCAGGGGACCAGGGTTTGATTCCCAGCACCCACATGGCAGCTACGAACCATCCTTAACTCCAGTTCCAGGGGAATCTGAAGCCCTCTTCTGACCTCTGCGGCATTGCATGACACAGGTGCACTCACATACATGCAGTCAATACACTTATACACATAAAATAATAAAAATAATAAATAAAATATTAAAAAAAGAGAGAAAAGAAAAGTCAGGTCTGGTGGCACATGTCTTTAATTCCAGCACTCAGGAGGCAGAGGCAGGCAGATCTCTGTGAGATTGAGGCTAGCCTGGTCTACATAGTGAGTGCCAGGCCAACTGGGGCTACAAGAAAACCCTGTTTCAAAAAGGCCAAAATAAAGAGACAAGAAAAGGAAAAGGAGAAGTTGTTGATAAGTATTATCCCAGCCTGGAAAGCTTTGGCCCAAGGCTGTTTCTGCAATTAAGTGATCACCAGCAGCCTACTCTCTGAAAACATGTTTCTTTTACTTTATTTCTGATAGATTAGGAAATGGGTAGCGGAGGATATCACTTACCCTGGGCTGCCCTTCTTAGGGGCAGACAAGTATTCTTGGTGCAGTGATTAATCCACCAGTGTGTGGAACTGGACAATTACTTTATCAAGTTAATACAATTGTAAAGACACACCAAAAATATACATTTTATGTTGCAAGCTGTTCATATGTGTTTACTGAGCACCTAGCACTGCTGTCTCAGTCTGAGAACAGACCTGTGAGATATCTGGTTGCCCCTCTTTCCATAAGGAGAGACCAAGGGTACATGAGGAAATAAACAGCCACCTGAGGTGGGTGAAGTCTTTGGTACTTAATGTGAACTGGGAGCCCCAGGTGTTATGTTTGCTTTTGGCAAAACTCTGTGACTGGTACTTTGAAAGATACTAATGGGAACTTTTTTAGGGAACTGTAGGTCATGTCTCTATAAGTGGCAATAAATGGGAATGGCTGTAGGCTGATAATTATGCAGACATAGATGGAAGAACTCTAGAAGATTACTTATGGGCATCTTTACAGAT